TTAACCTAACCGAGAAAGAATGGGCATTGATCTTTGGCATCACAGAACCCAAAGGCCTGATGACCCTATAAATGTCCACCGAAACATCCTTGAATAAGCGTTTCTGAAATTCCAGTCTTGGTCTTGTCATGGGTGGAATCTATTCCCAGTTGCAAAAATTTCTCACTGTCTCCCAAGACTGGCAGCATTTTTTTTACTGTCAAAATCCAATACCACTATAACCACACATTTATAGGGTTTAGTAATAACAATATATTTGTTACGACGAAAAGATTTTGAGAACGTAAAATTGCTCACATCGCCAAATGAATTCAGTACGATCAATAGGTGTACCACCATAAGCATGGGCAAGGTCATTAAGACTTACCTTCAGTGCACTAAATTTAATTTCATATAACAGTGAAAGTTTGAACAACTGGAAAAATAGCATCTCAAAATCCACAAAAATTTCCTCCCGGCTGATTACAAAATTCCAAGCCGTGTGACAACACATTCATTTCTATAAGAGAAAGTTCCGTCGAAACAATTTCAGAAAAACTCTTTTTATCTGAATCCAACAATCTACCAAACCACTTAGATACTAAGAACTGACGTCTCTTCTGGTGAATAGTATTAGTATTTCTGAGATCAGGTACTATGTATACTATTTATTTATTCGGACTATCGTCCTCATCTTTGTTGCCATATTTATCAAAACTCGCTGGGGTAGACTGTTCTAGTTCCACGTGTCATATCTAATGGATGTTTTCAGTTTTCTCCTGTTAATTCATCTCTCCAAGTTCTCCACTGCCTTAACCAGGTATTGAACTCACAAATCTTTGGGTCCTGTCACTAGATCTAACCAACGCCTTTACCCACTGTGCCATGTGTCAGTATTAGTACTGATATAGTTACGCTCGTTAAACAAGACTCAGTTCTTAGAGAAAGGAATACTAACAAATTTGTACTAAAAAAAGAGAATTACTGAAAGTTAATTTTTTCTCGACCTTTAGAGTGTCGTTATGAGCTTATAACTCTTACATGTAAGCTTTAAAAAAGCAACCTAAAACTTTTCTTTTAATGAAAAGCATTCCTCCGGGGAAATGGTGAATGTTAAAATTTGCAGTTCTACTTTTTATGTCATAAAAAGTAGAAATTCTAACAAGTGATAAACCGGTGAAGAAGAGAGAGACGACATGGTCGCTTTGACCAGAATACTTTTCGATGGAGTTTTTCAATTTCTTTTTGGTGTTTTGCTAGCAACTATTTCCTGGCAAACATTCACATATTATCTTTTCTTTATGAAGATTAAGCGTGATCAGAAAATAAACAAATCGCCTGTCTTAAACTCCACACTGGTAATATCAGAAAAAAAAGGCACCGAATTTAAAGTACGTGGTGTAATGATTTTCTCGCTAGGCTAGTTGACCATTACTACTATCTAGTGGATTCAAGTCTCACTAGGTTCCCCATACTTGTGGCTTTGTGCTAAAACTGAGTTATGCTTAGTAAATAGCAAATCTCTAATTCAAGCAACCAACCAAAGTGACGTGAATCAAATGAACAAAAGTAAAATGTGAATGGATATCAGAGAAAGAAACGTGTGGACGAAATTAAAGTCGAACAATAAAACTAAAGAAATCAAAAGTAACACTAAAACTTTTTAAACATTTAAAAAATTCAAAATAACACAAAGAGCCAGTCTTCAAATGACCGAAAATTCTTCAAGATTTAAACATCTGGCAATACAAATATCAAATAGCCGCAACTGGACAACAAAAAAAATTTTTGAAATCGTTTCGAGACACCAAACATCTTTTTTTTTATCTAATTTGAGGGCGCTGAATCTGAAGATGACCTTACTTTTTCTTGGTTAGCTACCGTGTTGACTGTACAGAAATGTCCCATTTTTTGCAAAAACAAACATTTTTTCATTTGTTTTCCGTATATATAATAGTGACCGATGGCAATATTTCTCAAAATAAAATCGTAGAAACCTCGTATTTAAACCAACAAATATGGTCTACTTACTGAGAAATACTATTTTTTCAATAACAATCAGACCTGTCAATATTTCTGAGATGAGGTCCTTAAAGACACATGGCACAGAGGATAAAGGCATTGGTTAGATCCAGTAACAGGACCCAAAGAGTGTGAATTCAATAGCCGGTTAAGGCAGTGGAGAACTTGGAGAAGTGAATTAACAGTGATTTACATCCATTAGACATGGCACGTGGAGCTAGAACAGTCTACCCCAGCGAGCGCAATAAAGGGTTCAGTTCAACATTCCAACCAAGTGAAGAAGGCCGGAGCGTACAACGGCCGAAACGTTGTGATAAATATGGCAACAAAGATGGGGACAATGATCCAAATAATGTAAATAATGAACTATCAGTTCCTAAGTCTTTAAAAGTAACATGATTGAATATACCAAGACCAACAATTATTTTCATCAAATCATTTAATAAACTAACAGCAGAAATAAAACCTTTGTGAACATAAGAACTATGGGAAAAATTTTCTCTTTCTTGATTGTCTGTCATGTTCAATGTTATTTAAGTCCTTTTTTATATTCCAGCAGTATCATATACAATGAAATAGGTGCATTTAATTGGGATGTCTTTGGTTGGAGTTTCTTTCCAACTATGAAAATGCTCTCAATGTGTTTGGTTTCCTTCCGTAGTGGAGAGATAAAAGTGAGGGGATGTATTTATGAATATCAGATTTTAGGGTCTCATTTTTTTATGTCACCTTAATTATCAGGTTTACTAAATTGTATTACTGATAAAGTTTATCAGTTAATTTGAATTTTGGCGATAAATTGGAAAAATTCGATACTTCTATTTTAACATTTTTGACTCAAAATCACTTTTTTCTTATAAAAGTAGTTTATTTCAGGTGGCTGACATAAATAGCTCGGCTTACCTGAAAAGTGATAGGTTCTTACGAGCTTTATTAACATAATTTTGCGATCAACCAAGATCATAAATTGATCTTTTTTCCAAAAATGAGCTATTTCAGTGCAGCAAAAGTGCTAGCTAACCATGTAAAACTAAGGTAATTTTCGGCATCAACACCATCAAATTAGCTAAAAAACTTGTTTTGTTTCTTGACACCCAAAATCGTTTTGTATAATTAAAGCTGGGAACAAAATCCTATTTTATGGAGATGGAAAAGATCATTTTGCAGCAGATATGTCGGAAAAGAAGAAATTCTGTACTTTATTACAAATCAGAAGGTTGCGTGTTCACATCACGTCGGGGTCACCAATTAGGGTTGGTTGGTATTTGGTTTTCCCTCCGGTATCAGAATATGGTAATGTTGTTGGACAACAATAAATAACACAAAAACTTGGTTGGAAAAATTAAGGGTCATTTTTTTTTTTTTTATTGACGCACATGTGTGTACTAAACTCGGAGATAAGAGAGTGGTCAACCTCAAGTCAACGTGACGTTGAGAGAGGCTGACTGAATCTCATTTCCTTTAGGATCGCTGCAAAAAAAAAAAAAATGTCTGAATCCAAAAAAAAGTATCAAGAGAAAGATTATCTCCTTTCCGGAAGTGGAGTCACAAATTTTGCACGTGACCGGAAGCCCTTCTTTTGGTTTCCATTTGCATTATAGGAAAATGAAATTATTTATTTTTAAAAATTATTATGCTTATTGTTTATTTTACCTATTATTTAATTTTATATTCTCCCACATAATTCAAAGAGCCACTGGCTGACATTAAAGGCAAAGTCCAAACGAGCGAAAAGAAATCACTTCTAATATTTTACATTCCGTAAATAAGTCTAAATAAACGACGTGATGTGAACACGTAACCTTCTGATGCGTAATAAAGTACAGAATTTCTTCTTTCCCGACATATCTGCTGCAAAATGCTCTTTTCCATCTCCATAAAATAGGATTGTTTTGTTCCTAGGTTTAATTGCACTGGTCAACACGATTTTTCGTGCCAAGAAACAAACGTTTTTTTAGCTAATTTGTTGGCGCTGATGCCGAAAATTACCTTAGTTTTACATGGTTAGCTACCATTTTTGCTATACTGAAATTGCTCATTTTTGGCTGATTGCAAAAAAATAACTGACTGACTAAAAAAATAACAAATGTAACGATAAAAATGAAACAAGAGAATATGAAAGACTATAGAAAAAAAAAAGATCTTCCTATTATCTAATTTTCATTCTCCCACACATCAGATGCCACTAAAATGAAATCCTTTCGAAGTTGGTAGCAAAGGTCGAGACATCTTTTAACAAAACACTTATTCTGTTTTGTAGATTTCCCCCAATCAAGATGGACGTTGACAGATTATGATAGATTATAGATAGATTATAATAGATTATAGATATAACGTTAACAGATTATGATAGATTATAGATAGATTATGATAGATTATAGATATAACGTTGATAGATTATGATAGATTATAGATATAACGTATTTGATAACTTGAGTTATCAAATAAGTTATATCTATTTGGCACAGAATAATGAGAAGGTATAGTCGTTTCTTGGTGTATACAATAGTACGGAGGTAATTCTCGCCCGTTTGAATTATTTGCAAGAAAAGTTTCTTGCAAATAATTTAAACGTACGACTAGAAACCAAAAGTCGTTTGACATCGTTCAAAATAAATTTTATCATCAGTTTTTCATTGCTTTGATATGCAGATTCTTTTTTGTTTGTTTGTTTTTTTGTTTGTTTGTTTGGTTGTTTTTTTGTTGTTTTTTTCATTCTTTTCGACGTCTTGGATTCAAAAACGCTAGGGAGATGAATGAAACAAGATATCAGTAAGATTCACGAAAATTCATATATAGAAGCTGGTTACCATCGGCCGATTTAAAACGAAGTTAGCCGTCTACACCTTTACAAGACTTTTATGGAAGCATTTATTTATTACGAAAAAATGTGTATATAGAAAAGACTTCATAAGGTGACCGATTGAAATGAACAAAATTGAATGCTGCAAGTTAATCTCAAATATTGAAAAATATAGCGAGAATCTCGAAGCACTTACCCTCCGACATTTGTGATAACCCCGCCTGATTGTTGCGAAAGTTCTTCTGTTGCTACATCGGATGAGTACAATCCAAGAGGTGAATTATATTGTCCGTGGATGAATACTCCCGACCCAGCTCCGTGCGTGACAGGTGTAACGGGCGTGGCTGGTTGCATTCGAGGGCTGCTGTGATACTGGTGAGGGGCGTTCACAGCTTGGCTTTGATCCTTTTTGGCTGCCTGCATGTTTACTTTGGGACCTTTCCGAGCCTGGGCATTTTGATTGTAATGTTGTCTGCAATGAGAAAAGAAGATAATAAACGTTACAATCATCATCATCATCATCATCATCATCATCATCATCATCATCTATCAAGCCTAGATATATCATTATCATAATCACCAAGAAAATCCTCTTCCTCAGTAGAAGACGCACATATTAGGAGCTTCATCATGATGAACAGTAGATACTAGTGTGATACATGAATGAAAATAGTAAGTAATACTACCATTCATGACATCAGCGTATTTCACTGTTGAAGTTATAATATTTTTTTTTAAGAAGTTTGTTTAATTCTTAGATAATGTAACTTGAAATATCAAAGACTATGTGGAGTTTAAAATGAAATTATGACATAAGAATTTAATAAATCTACGACTCTAAAAGCCCAAATGACAAATGTATGAAAAAAATGTCTTGATATTCACTAAGCTTAGCTAGGTCTGGAACAAGACTATAAGAATAGGACACTTAGTCAAAGTATTCGAGTGAATAGTCTCGCGAAACATGTTTGTTGACTGTCACTATATGCCAGTCGCCATAAATGTGAGATTATTCAAAGTTTTCCTTTGTTATGAAATAAAAAGTAGTTCGATGTTCCTTTCTTTGCATGTACGAAATCGAAAGCAATATTAATCTTCAATTTATTGTTCAATATTCTTTTAAAAGTTATTGAGTTGTAATATATTTTAAGCGATCAAATGAATGGGTTCAGTTATCGGAGATGTTCTAAATTTACTTTAGTAAAATATAGTCGTTAATGTTGCATCAGTTTTCCAAATGTAAAGCGAAAAAATCCGGGATTCTGACAGAAAAAAATTAAATAACAACTGGATTGAAGGGGGAGGGTGCAACGACTTCCGTCACCAAAAACAATTGTATCCATTTTTTATCGGATTCATTTCTAACAGAACTTATTTTGTAAGCCTCGATTAATTCAGACTCTTAAATTTAAGATTCAAGATTACCTCCCCTGAAAGATGCCACAGTCCAAACATTTTCTGACAATAAACATAGCATCAAAGGATGAGATCAGTTGAGAAAAAATGACCAGGTGATGTTGTATGATTTACTTTTTGGCTCTTAAAAATGAATGGCATCGTTGAAATAATAATCCAATTTATTTTCAGTATTTTTTACTTTGGAAATGTTTGGAATATTTATGACACAAATACAAATCTAAAAAACAAAATTTCAAAACAAAAACATGAAAAGTGAAATCTATACAGAAATATGTTTTCAAATTCCTTTTGAAAAAAAAATAAAAAAAAGTGAAATACAGATATGAAAGTCTTGAAAAATATGTTTTAAAAAAATTATTTTGAAATACAAATTATTTTTATGCTTTTACCATCAAATTTACAAATAAAATTATATGAAAGTCATGAAAAAATGAAAAAATGTGATAAAAAGAAAGTGAAAAAGAAATATGTTTTCAAATTATTTTACTATTTTACCATCAAATTTCAAATAAAATGATAAAAGAAAGTGAAATCTTTAAAAAAGAAATATCTTTACAGAAATATGTTTTCAAATTATTTTGACTTCTATGCTTTACCATCAAATTTACAAATAAAAAATGATATGTGAAAGTCTCATAAAAGAAAAAATCTTTACAGAAATATGAAATTATTTTGACTTCTACTTTACCATCCTATGAAAAAAAAAAGGAACATTTTATTATCCTTTGAAATATTTTCAAAATTTATTTTACCATCAAATTTCAAATAAAATTTTGTTGAAAAAATGTGAAAAATGTGAAATCTTTTTATTCAGTTCTATGCTTTTCAAATTTACAAATAAAATGATTCTTCTACGCCTCCTATGAAAAAAAAAGGAACATTTTATTATCCCTGGTCGTTTTCAAAATTTATTTTAAAATGTGTTTTCCTTTTTAAAAAAGAAAAAAAAGGTTTAAATTGTATTTTACCGACAAAACAATCTTGAAGCCCTGGAGCGTTGCGAATTGTTTCTTTTATTATTATTATTAGATTTTACGGTGCCAAAAATATTTCTACAAGATTTGAGCAAATCGCTAAAATATTATTCGAAAGTTACTGCCAACTTCCCGCCAACTTAAGGCAAGTGTCCAATTTATTTACTAAGCTTATTCTGGCACAAGGTTATATGCGTGAGGCACCTAGTAAGAGTCGAAATCAATTAAAATATTAATAATCTAAGTAAACTTTGTGAAAAATTGCTTCATATCGAGGGATTTTGTTTAAAACAGTACAAAACGTACCACATCAATATGATTTGATTTATCTTTCATTGCTTTTTGTAATGAAGCTAAAGATAGCAAAGACCGAGCTTTATATTATCTTGATTTACACAGACAAGAGATAATTCTCCCTCTTGCAATATATTTTTCAAAAGAAAATGCGTACGTAGGATTCTTAACTTTAAATGTGTGATTTCAAATTTTATAACAAAAATATGTACATTTTGAAAATTATGGGCAGATTCTTCATTTCAAAAGAAAATACGTATGTAGGATTCTTAACTTTAAATGTCTGATTTGAACTTTCTTTAACAAAACATGTACATTTTGAATATTATGGACAGATTCTTTATTTCAAAACAAAATGCGTATGCAGGATTCTTAACTTTAAATGTATGATTCGAAATTTTTATAACAAAAATCTGTACATTTTCAACATTATGGACAGATTCTTTATTTCAAAAGAAAATGCGTATGTAGGATTCTTATCTTTAAATGTGTGATTTCAACATTTTATAACAAAAATCTGTACATTTTGAACATTATGACAGATTCTTTGTTTAAAAAAATGCCTATGTAGGATTCTTAAGTTTAAATGTATGATTTGAAAGTTTTATAAAAACTCTGTACATTTTGAATATTATGGTCAGATTCTTTATTTCAAAAGAAAATAAGTATGTATGATAGTTATCTTTAAATGTGATTTCCAATTTTTATAAAAAAATCTGTACATTTTGAACATTATGGACAGATTATTTTTCAAAAGTTATTTGAACCTGTTATGTCAAATATTTGTACATTTTGAACATTATGGAGATTCTTTAATGCGTATGTAGGATTCTTATCTTTTTGATTTCAACATTTTATAACAAAAATCTGTACATTTTTGAACATTATGACAGATTTGTTTAAAAAATGCCTAAAAGTTTAAAATGATTTGAAAGTTTTATAAAAATTCTTATCATTTTGAAAATGTGTTATTTTGAACCTGTTATGTCAAATATTTGTACATTTTGAACATTATGGACAGATTCTTTGTTTCAAAAAAAAAATGCGTTAGGATTTCAAAAGTCAAAATTTGTACATTTTGAACATTATGGACAGATTCTTTATTTTAAAAAGAAAATGTATGTGATTTTATCTTTTTGTTAACAAATAAATTTTGAACATTTTTCAAAAGAAAATGCGTATGTAGGATTCTTATCTTTAAATGTGTTATTTGAACCTGTTATGTCAAATATTTGTACATTTTGAACATTATGGACAGATTCTTTATTTCAAAAAAAAGATGTGTGATTTCGTGAACATTATGTACAGATTCGTTATTTTAAAAAGAAAATGCGTATATAGGATTCTTATCGTTAAATGTGTGATTTGAACTTTTTATAACAAAAATCTTTATACTTTGAACATTATGTACAGATTCGTTATTTCAAAGGAAAATGCGTATGTAGGATTCTTTCTTTAAATGTGTAATTTGAACATTTTATAACAAAAATCTGTACATTTTGAACATTAAGTAGAGATTCGTTATTTTAAAAAGAAATGCGTATGTAGGATTCTTATCTTTAAATGTGTGATTTGAACTTTCAGTAACAAAAATCTGTACATTTTGTCGCATTATGGACGGATTCTTTCTTTCAAAAAAAATGCGCATGTAGGATTCTTAACTTTAAATGTGTGATTTCCACTTTTTTATAACAAAGTATGTACATTTTGACACATTATGGACGGATTCTTTCTTTCAAAAGAAAATGCGCATGTAGGATTCTTAACTTGAAATGTATGATTTGAACTATTTATAAAAAATCTGTACATTTTGATCATTATGGACAGTGTCTTTATTTGAAATGAAAATGCGTATATGGTATTCTTAACTTTAAATGTCTGATGTAAACTTATTATAAAAAAATCTGTACATTTTGAAAATTATGGACAATTGCTTTGTTTCAAAGGAAAATGTGTATGTAGGATTCTTATCTTTAAATGTGCGATTTGAACTATTTGTAACATATATATATATATATATATTGGTCATTATGGACAGATTCTGTGTTTGAAAACAAAATGCGGGTGTAGAATTCTTAACATTAAATGTGTGATTTGAACATTTTATAAAAAAATATATACATTTTGAACATTATTGACAGATTCTTTCTTTCAAAAGAAAATGCGTATGTAGGATTCTTAATTTTAAATGTATGATTTGAACTTTTTATAAGAAAATCTGTACGTTTTGAACATTTTGGACAGATTCTTTATTTCAAAACAAAATGCGTATATAGGATGGTTTACTTTAAATGTGTGATTTCCACTTTTTATAATATTCTCTACATTTTGAATATTGTGGACAAATTTTTGTTTCAAAGGAAAATGTGTATATAGAATTCTTAACTTTAAATGTTTGATTTAAACTTTTTATAACAAAAATCTGTACATTTTGAACATTATGGACGGATTATTTATTTCAAAAGAAAGTACGTATGTAGGATTCTGATCTTTAAATGTGTGATTTGAACTTTCAGTAACACAAATCTGTACATTTTGAACATTATGCATAGATTCTTTATTTTAAATGAAAATGCGTAGGTAGGATTCTTAACTTTAAATGTCTGATTTGAACTTTTTATAACAAAAATCTGTACATTTTGAACATTATGGACAGATTCTTTATTTCAAAAGAAAATGCATATGCAGGATTCTTATGTTTTAATGTGTGTTTTGAACTTTCTATAAGAAAAATCTGTACATTTTGAACATTATGGATAGATTCTTTGTTTCAAATGAAAATGTGTATGTAGGATTCTTATCTGTAAATGATGGATTTGAACTTTTATAAAAAAAAATCTGTAAATTTTGAACATTATGGACGGATTCCTTATTTCAAAACAAAATGCGTATGTAGGATTCTTAACTTTAAATGTCTGATTTGCACTTTTTATAACAAAAATATCTACATTTTGAACATTATGAACGGATTCGTTATTTCAAAAGAAAATGCGTATGTCGGATTCTTATCTTTAAGATTTGAACTTTTTATAACCAATATCTTTACATTTTGAACATTATGAACAGATTCGTTATTTCAAAAGAAAATGCGTATGTAGGATTCTTAACTTTAAATGTCTGATTTGAACTTGTCAGTTAAGACAATGGATGTAACAGTTGATTACCATTGTTACTATTCGAGTAGGAAAGATAGTTATAGACGAGTGGATAGCCCAAGTACTCACATTTTAACTTTTTCCCTCTATTGTGGGAATATTTTTCTAAGCCATCTAGCTCTATGACAGAGCGCAAAAAGTGAAATGTCTTTTCCAAAGCCTCAAAATATATTTGAAATCAATTCAGTGAATCTGTGCTGTTGTAAAAATGTTATTCAGAAGTTTCAACAAAATAAAATTTCACAATTAGGAAAAGTAATAATGCAAATATTTCTAAACTCTTTTCAAACATTACAAACATGCAAGCAAAATTGTTTACTTTACTTTTTAAATATAGCGGGGGTGGGAGTAAGGCTGTTCAAGACAATCTCAACATTATTTTTTGATCGCGGTTATTTTTTTATTCTCAACGGCAGTTATCAAATGTCGATAGGTTGCAGGTTATTAGTATTAGTCACCCAAATATTAAGGAATATCTCTTACAAGCTGGAGTATATATATATTATGCCTTTAAATTTGTTGAGGAGTAAAGGGCCGCAAAATATCGTTGCGGTTTCTATAACAAGCCAGTTTTTAATTGATTAGGTTATTAGCCTTCTGCACAACCCCCAACCTGGAGGATCAAGTTTTGAATTCAAAGTTGTCTTCCTCTTTGACCAGTTGCCACCCAAGGCTATAGAATCCGGTCTGTACTATTCATAGCTGGGAGGAGAAGATGAGGATTCATACTTTTCCCAAGGGTATTAGCACGTAAGTGAATGTAATGGATTCGACTGAAATTCGAACTCGGCTCTCCGATTCCTCAATCCGAGACGCTATTCATTACTCCTTACAAGATGGAGTATCCTTTAATCTATTGTGATCAATCCGGGATTTAGTGCATAACTGAACTGGGATATTTATAGATTAAAATGAGAACTTAGATGTGAGACGAACGAGAAATAAATACTGAGAATTTTGCTGTGGAATAATAGTTAGCAACGTTCCAAACTACTATGGCGAATTCGATCCTCATTAAGTGTCAAATTAGACTCAGCTTAGAACAGTAAGAAATAAACACTGATACAATGTAGGTTGGTGTGTCTTGAAACGAAAATAACTTCTACTGGGTTATGTTAATAATGCTACCTGTTAGACAAGTACGACATTTGCATCTGTTTCCGGTGCACTGATTTCGGATATCTTGTCGGCCAGAAAAGCCAAACGCTATGATTTATTCTTTGATTTCTATGGAGAAGGTTGTCTTTCATGCAATTCAAGTGAGAAGCAGATTGCCAGAGACGCTGCCATCCAAAAAATAAAGAAATAAAAATAAAAAATATTTACACCGGACAAATGAGACAAAAACATGACGAGCTCATAAAGAGTTGGTCAGAATAAACTTACAACACATTTGTTCCTTCATTGTTTTCCCACCTAGCTTTCTTTTAACTGAAATATTCCATCACTGCCAGAGAAATTTTTTATTTAAATGTAGCGGCAAGATAATTTTTATCTCGATTTTTAATATATTTTTGCATTTTTATGGGCGTCTATAAAATATCTCGACCTCCCCTTTTCCTTTTTATCTTGCCACTTCTCTTCCACCATCTTACTATCTCTGTCTATTTTTGGTTTCTATTATGTACTTTAACATTTTTCTTTTTAATGTTTTCTAGTTTCTTTCTTTGTAATCCAACAACCATTTATTTATTTATTTATTCTTATTATTCTCCCTCTCTCTTTCTCTCCCATACACGCACACACACACACACACGCACACACACACACATATATTCTCAAACAGATTTTTTCCTCCTCTCGGCATTTAAACTTAAATCTTTTTTACAAAAACGTTAAAAATTTCTTATATCAAACGCTTCATCCACAAAATTAAAATTAGCGAAAAATTATGTTTTGTCATCATTTTTATAAACTTTTAAAATCCTTATTTTTCTTTCGTGAACACAAATTGTCTAATTTCATCAATGCACGTAGAAACGAAGTACAATTATGCATGACCCAAATAGCCCTCAATGAACCAGAAAACCCTATTTTTATTTTGTCTTTCCTGTTCGAACACAATGTTCTCGTGCACAACTTTTTACCAGTATCCAATCCCGAAAAAGTAAACAGTCAAAAAGAAACACATTGATAAAAAAAAACCCTATAAATCCATCCGTCACGTAACTCAACAATAAAAATAATTACCTTTCTTTTCGGGCCCTTTCAATAAAGGACCTGTCACTACCCGGGACAAGTGCCTGTGGTTGAGGAGGAAGAGGGAAGTAAAGCTGTGGTTGTTGCTGTTCCCTGTTTGGATAATGTGTCCCAGGAAAATGGGGAGCGTAAGAAGACATCGTCAAAGCTGCAAGAATTCCACTAAATGCCTAAAGTTTCCTCAACCAGCTCTGAAGCGACTCTGTCTCAATCGCTATGAGTTTGTTATTTTTTTATGCAGCGACGAAATAAAATAGCCAACCACAAACAAGAGGTCCGCCTTTTCAGCGAAATCCAAAATTATACTTGATCCAAATTGCTCTCTGCGTGTAAATTATGAGAAACAATCTGACTGCGATATTCAAGTGAGAAGGTGTTCAAGGAAGAGCAAGAAATAGATAGATACTTGCAGTAGGAGTAGATGATGATAAAGTGGTATATGAAAGTGAAAGGCAGAAGTGATAAAGAGAGAAGGTGCGATAACGTGATAAACGTGTCAGAGAGATTGGAATACTGTGTTAGAAAAAGGAAGGAAAAGAAAGAATATTGCATTTTGAAATTTCATACGAATGCGTGTGCGTACGAGGCCATCCGCATATGTAAACGCCTATGTACTCGTTGAGAATGAGAAAGAGGAGAAAGAGAAGAAAATGGGAACCGAATGAGTGTGGGTTGAGGTCGCAATTGAATGAGGGACAGGGTGAAAAAGAAACACGAAAGAAAGAAAGAAAGAAAGAAAGAAAGAAAGAAAGAAAGAAAGAAAAAGTTTGGGAAACGTGCCAAGTATATAAGAAACAAGGGAAATTTATCCCACACAAATATATGTTTCTATGTATAAAGTAAATATTTATTAGTCTGTGTGGATGTGTGCGAGACACGTTATTACATAGACAAGTGAATAAAATATAATACATTTTAATAAAAATATATACGTCTGCATAATTAAAAAGCACTTTTTTTGCAACGTTTTGTATATGCATAAACGTAACAGACGTGTATATATATATATATATATATATATATATATATATATATATATATATATATATATATGAGAGAGAGAGAGAGAGAGAGAGAGAGAGAGAGAGAGAGACACGGATGAATATAAACAGATACAACTTTATGCCAATGGCATTAATATATGATGTATGTTTATTAAATAAACACAAATATGAGATACAAGCTTACTACTCAAAATGTTCAACTATATCCTCATGCAAATCTTTATGCGTATACAAAACGCAAGAAAGGAAGGGAGAAAATACGACAGCCCCTTACTCCACCCAGAAAAATTTTCAAATTAAAACCAGGAAGGGACGTTGCACGCGTCGAGGTTAAGGTGGAACATCAAGAATAGTTTGGGTGTAAAGTGATACCAGCAAATCAGAAAGCGAACGAACCAAGTGGTTGTCGAACAGACAGCGAGAAGAGTCAAACAAATAAGCAAGTTGATAGTCAAGCAAGAAATTAGATAAATGCATAAGTAGGTAGGTTACGCTTGGTTTAGCTTTCGATAACAGCTTCACGAAATATCATCACTTCAGAAAGTCCAGAAAATAGTTTTGCTTTTTTGTCGTTTTTAATTTGAAGTAAACACTCCTCTTGTCTGTCCTGGGTATGACGATAAACTACATCCGCGTCCTGGGTAAGACGATAAACTACGTCCGACAGCAAGGCCTCTGATCAGGAGGTTTTGAGGAGCGTGGAACCACCTCTTAATTGCTGGTGTTCCCAGGTCCATCCTGACCCGGTGTGGTAGCACCTGTTACGGTACTAGTTGTGGGCAAATAGTTAACTCCCAAACTGGGGTCAAAACACTATGTAAGTGGAAAAATAGGTTTTAATACCAGAAATACTTTGTAAAAAATTATTACCAGCAATACATTTTTGGAAAAAAAAATATTACCAGAAATAGATTTTTGAAAAAGAAATTACCAGCAATAAAATTTTTGTTAGCATTGAATAACCCATTGTGGTTGATATGCCGTAAAACAAGGGTCGGCAACCTACATTTGACCTGCCCGCGAGCCTGATTACCAATGACTCTATTTTTAACATGAGAGACGACCTTCAAATGAAATTTATTATATGTCATTTTCCATAGAATGCCTACACATCTCAGTGCACTAAAAATATTAGACTATCTGCCAGTTATCTTTCATGAGACTTATTTTACCAAGTTGAGTTGCCTACGTTTAATGTCAAATAATGTATACATATTTGTTATGACCCTTGGCTACATTAAAAGATAACAGAAGCGAAAGGAACGATAAAGTGAAAGAGGCCAGCGAGGGACTGACATGCGAGGTAGCAGAAATCTAAAGACAGTTAAACATACGCGCATTATACAAACATGCCTCATGAATGTGTGGATGATACCGCATGTGTACGTACGTAAGTGTATATGTTTGCAACTATTTGTACTCGTATGTATGGGTATATGTGCTTCGTTTTTTTTGTTTGATGTGTGTGTGTGTGTTCGTTTTGTGGAACAATTTTCAATAACAGTTTCAAACCTACACATCATAATTTCATCCATTTCACTTCGGTTGATTTTTTTTACTTTGAAGTATTTTGACGTTGCTTGAGGAAAAGTAATTTTTGTTAGGTGTTTTTTTTTAATTTTAGATTTTCTTTTTCTCAATGTTTATTTTCATTATGGTTTTAAATATTTAGGTTGACAGGGGTTTGCATATGTAATTTTCCTTAATTTTTCATTAATGGCCTTTGTCCGGCCCGCGACCTGTCATTATAACACGATCCGGCCAGCGGGGTCGAATGAGTTGCCGACCCCTGCCGTAAAACAAACCAAACAAACTATTCTTGAAAGCCTCATCCAAAGTTTGGTTGGGTTTGATTTATTTTGTTTTATTGCATTTCAGCTACAATGGGTTATTTAAGGCCGACAACATTTTTTATTTCTGATAATATTTTGTTTTTTCAAAAAACTATTGCTGGTGATAATTAACTCTTTCCCCATAGCTGGGACCCTAGCAGGTGCTACCACCCTGGCTCAGGGTGGACCTGGGAACACCAGCAATTAAGAGATGGTTCCACGTTCCTCAAAACATCCTGATCAGAGGCCTTGCTGCTGGATGTAGTTTACCGTCTTACCCGGGACGCGGATGTAGTTTAACGTCTTACCCAGGACACGGATGTAGTATAACGTCTTACCCAGGACAACTCAACTAAAGTAAAGCAGCATTGGTCGAAACGTTTTAGACTCTTTGATTGTCGCCCACAACATTTTTTCGGATAAATATTCGATAATTAGACCACTCATCAATCCGACATTTGATAAAAAACAATTCCTAAAGTTCATGAAACCTTTTTCCTAAAATCAAATTATATATATTCGTATACTTATAATTACGACTGCAACTTTTGAACATTTTACAAATGTGCATAATTCTTAATGTCAAGAATCATTTTTAGTTATACGTATATCAGATCTTCAAATATTAACAAATATCTTTTTTTCCAACATGGGACGTCATATTTTATTTATCTCTGAAGGCTACTATCACATTTTCTGTTGAACCTTAGTCGTAAACAAGTTTACTTGTTTCCATCATTCAATATATTAGACTTTCTACATAAATAAATATATATATATATATATATATATATATATATATATATATATATATATCTTTTTGAATTTGTAAGTCTGATGAATTGGGTCGTGATTACGATTCCAATGCAATAAATTATAACCATGGAATATTAGTGTTTGAGCCTTTTACATTATATTCTTACTCTGTCCTGGACATTGAGTTCTACCTGTATTCTATCCTCCTGAGAATTTACATATATATATATATGTGTGTGTGTGTGTGTGTATTGACCACTAATATTATCAATATATATATATATATATATATAAACAATAAAATCCCAAATCACCTCATATGGGGAATAGTTTATTTCGGCAGACAAAAATATAGGTCGTGTGTCTTATCAACACCGATGTGGACTGAGCTTGTATCAGAAATAGAAATTTAACTGTGAAATCTAAAAAAAAGAAATCAACCTGTCGAAAAACTTATACAGAATTTATCCATTTCGAAATGTATAAACTCTGTATAAGCTTTTCAAGTGGTTGATTTTTTTAAAAAAATTTTAGCTTTCACATTTAAATTGAATTACAATTAACTATGGTGAAAAAGGCAGCCAAGCATGGAGAAAACAACAAAGAAATTGAGAATAGAATTGGCTTAAATATTAAGAAAAACAACAGTCGTAATTCTAAGAATTAAAAAAAATATGTATGTATAAAAAAATTATGTTTTTAGTAAACCGATGTAAAAAATGTTTTTCTCAAAAGGCAACACAATAAGAATCGGCATTAACACAATAGCAATAACGAGTAAGTACAAAGACAGGTAAACTCAAGAAATATAAAAAATGTTATGATAAATTCCAATAAAACTGATTATTTTAAAACAATAAAAAGCAATTGAAAAGTTAGAGAGTTTTGAACGAGAAATCGATGAAGTTCCTGACGTTGAAGAAATAAACAATTTTGGGGCGACATGTGCAGTAAAATCGAAAACCATAACGATGATGCTGAATAGATTAGAAAGAAAAGCGAAGTAAGGTGAACTGTGGAAACAAACAAATATCAATCTTAACCAACAAGTAATTAGAAATCAAACACGTAGACTTTCAAATTGGGAGACACCAAATCCAGATGGATTGTAAAGTTTTTGTTTGAAAAATATCAAAACAAGAGGAGTGTCGTCTGGTTAATTTGTTCGATGAATGTCTTCAAAACAGAACTGTGCTATTTTGGAGGATGAAGGACACAACTACGCTACATATGAAAGACAAAGAACAGAGATCTTTTAACTACAGACCAATAACTTGTCTTCCACGACTGTGGTATCTACTGATAAGCATTTTTTCAGAGGGGGATTATGTTCATTTAAAAAATCAGAATCCTTTGCTGGAAAAAGGTTGTTGAAAAAGATCAAGGACAAATGGCCAGTTGTTAATTGACAAGATGATAATGAATTACAAAAGAAGATAAGCTGACTTTGAAGTGGGATGGATCAATTATAAGAGAAACATACGACATTGTCTCTTGGTCTTGTATTTAAAAGACACTCAATAAGATTGCTGCAAATACCAATAGATTGATTCAATTACATATGGAAAATTGGGAAACTGAATTTACAATAGGTTCTCATTTACTTACATAAAAAAAATGAATATTCCAAAGTGATAATCAGGTTTAGGGTTACCATTGAACTGATCATATTTTCTCAGCTTCTAAGTAAACATAAAGCTGGCTATAGTTTAAGGAAAGATCACGAATTAATAAAAGCATTTATTATTCAGAGGTTGGGGTTAAAATTATATGGTAAGACTGACAGAGAGTTGTACAATGTTATGAATACAGTGACTGCAAGGATGGAATTTGGAATTACTAAATGTTATATATTTATATTGAAGAAAGAGGAATATTCGAGAAGTGAACTAACAGATCAGAAAATGAAGGAAATTAATATAGAAGAAAATTATGCATATTTTGGGATTCCGGAAGTTGATGGTATTAAAGATGCAACTATGAAAGAAAGAATAAAAGTGGAATATTTTAGCAGATTACCAAAAATATTTAAATCAACTCTAAGCAATACTATCAGTGCAATAAATTCCAGATCGGTGTCTAATAATATTATCTATAGTGCAGGGGAGTAACCAAATAAACAAAAGAGCTAACAGACATGGAAAGAAAGATAAGAAAGCTATTAAATATATATATAGTGTAAAGCATCCTCAAGCCAGTGTAGACAGACTAGTAGAGAAATATAGAGAAATCGGGTTAATAAGCACTGAAGATTGTGTTACAACAGAATTGGAAAGTTTACGCAGATTTGACACAGAGAACGATAAACAACTGATGACTGCAGAAGCAAAAGGCCTGGTGATGGAATTGAGGAAAAATATATACTTAAATCTAGAAAAGAAACGTACTTCAAAAAGTTTGCATTAGATTTTTTTCAAAACAGAAAATAACAATTATTCGGACTATACTCCTCATCTTTGTCGCCATATTATTACAACGTTTCGGCTGTTGTACGCTTAGGCCTTCTTCAGGTGGTTGGAATGTCGAAGTGAACCCTTTATTTCGCCCACTGGGGTAGACTCTTCTAGTTCCACGTGCCATGTTTAATGGATGTCAGTTATCAGTTATCTCCTGTTAATTCCCCTTTCCAAGTTTTCCACTGCCTTAACCGGGTATTGAGCTCACACTCTTTGGGTTCTGTCACTGCTATCATCGAAAAAAAGAGTAAATCAACATTTTAATATTGTTCGTAAAGTTTCTCTGTGTGTCATATAATTTTCGTTTTAAAGAGACAAAATTGATTTGCAGAGTTTAAAAGTTTGCAATTGGTTGCATCCTGAGTGTTTCATTAATGTTTTTCTACTCAAGTATTCTTTTACGTTGGATTAAAATTAAAAAAGATATTGACTA